CTTGAGGGGATTCCTACTTCCTTATGTCCTGCGCGAGCCCAGAACATCAGAAGTGGGGGACTTGTGTTGGGTTATTGCCAGACGCACGTCCAGTTAAAACACCAGGCCAGCCCACAGGCCCATGTCCCTTGAGGATGGACGAACGTCTGATGTTGGGGGCTCAGGCCCAGCAGACTCATCCCGACGGACGGCTGTGCGGGGACAAGGAGCAGGACCACGGGCCACCAGGGATGGCGACGAACGTCCCCGGGGCAAGCCTGTAGTCATCGGAGGGGACCCAGTTCACATGGTGAATATCAACAAGGCCAGGAGACGAACAGCCGATATCTTTCGAGGGTCACTTGGAGCAATCCAACTCACTTCCCGGGAGGACGAACGTCCCCACTAATCAGGCGGGAAACCTAGATTCTGGCGGGAAGTGCATTTAATGCTGAAGGTTTGGTAGTTGGGACACCAGCGGTCCACAGGCTGCCACGTCAGTACAGCCACCTGCCCATTGGTGGGTATAAATAGAAGCATTTATTTCATTGTAAAGGGTGGGCAACTTTCTATTCTTAGCATACTAGCTCCAGCCTTCTTACTCGGAGTATTTCTACTGCCTTGTAAGACGAACGGCCGACGTGCCCTTTTTAGCAAGTAGATTGTACTTAGGGGAGTTATTACGAAGTTAATAATACCTATTTACATTGCCTGCTATTACCTTTGTTTCCTGCTCCATCTCATAGTTGTTGGGCCAGACACTCATATACTCACTCCACTCAAAATCTTTGGGCTTACGTGTTGGGTCCAAGGGTTGAAGGAATAAACCTCAACAGTATCAATTAGATGTAAACAATCCATTCTGAGCTTATAATGGATCAAACTAAAGATTTTAACTATTTTACTCATGATTCTAATACTAATCTGTGACTCCTATTTTTCAAACTCAGCATGACTATTTAGAGACTCAAATTAATGATGAGCTACTTGTTTTCAATCATCCTAATAGTTCTGATCACATTACTGATGATTCTTCAAGCCCGTTTCAGGGTGTAAATAAATTTTACCTGAAACTCAATCTCCAAGGAAATCCGCTTGAGTAAGATGCATCATTATTCATCTTAAAGACTACGCTTATGACTTACCTCAATCTTTTCATATCGGAGCTTCTCATTCCTCATGTAATTTGATAAGATATCATATTGAACATTATATTACTTATGACAGACTTAATTCTTCTCACTAATGTTTTAGTGCTGCCATTTCTAATATAACTTAACCAAAAACTTATAAACAAGCTATTAAACTTCCAGAATGGTAGCAAGCTATGCAAATTGAAATTACTGCTCTTGAACATAATGGAGCTTGGATTCTTGTTCCTTTAATGCAAATCATCATATTTTTAAAACAAAATACAAATCTGATGGCACTATGGGAAAATATAAAACCAGACTTGTTGCTAAAAGTTATACTCAAGAAAAAGGTCTCGATTATTATGTGACTTTTTCCCCTATTGTAAAATTATCTACAATAATATTACTTTTAGCTATAACTTCTGCAAAAAACTGATATCTATATCAATTATATGTAAACAATGCAATTCTTCATGGTGATTTGCATGAAGAAATTTTTACCGAACCTCCTCCAAGATATTTAGATTCTGTAGATTCCAGAGTTTGCAAACTTGTCAAAAGTTTATATGAACTCAAACAGACCTCTCGAAAAATGGTATTTCAAACTTTTCGAATCTTTAGTTTCAAGCTCAAGCTGATTTGTCTTTAATTAATTACAAAATTTAATGGAAACTCTTTTACTGTTTTATTAGTTTATGTTAATCACTAACAAGTTGTGAAATCACCCATTAGTTACCACACACACAGTTGCAGTAACTACACCCATTATTTACCCCACACACAGTTTTAATAACTATACCAATTAGTTACCCGTTTCTGAAATGCTAACTCTTACTAGTCTCATTAATTAGTTACTACAGATAAACTATGCTTCTCACAAATCCTCAATGAGTAGTTACTTGTTAGTTGGGAAAAGGACACCAATATTAGTATTAGGAGGCCCAATTCCAATTTAAAAAAGTGGAAAAAGTGACCTAGCGGCTACTAAAATTGGAAACGGTACCCCCCAAATCGGCTTAGAAGTTACACGTGGCATATACTATGTTTTTTATTTGAAAGGTGGCATATACAGCGTTAACAATGCACTCTATAACAGTTGATGTTTTTATTTATTTAATATCAATTCAAATTTTAAATGCAATCCATGCACTCTACAATAAATATACAAAAATTAATGTTTTTTTATTCCAATTTTATTTCTGAGGATAAAATTTCAGATATGAAAATTGTTTGACAATTGTCCGAGTTATCACTGTCCCAGTTACAGCCACCACTTTTGGTCACTATCATAGTTACAACCGCTTTAGTGAGATTGTCCCAATTATTAGCACTTCAGTGATATCGTCTCAATTACTACCGCTCGAGTGATCACCGTCCCAGTTACTGGCGCTCCAGTGATATCGTCTCAATTACTACCGTTTCAGTGACATCGTCTCAATTACTACCGTTCCAGTGACACCGCCTTAGTTACAATAATTTAAGTGACACTGGATTCTAATAACCATGTAACTGTAAACTTTTATGTAACTATGATTTTTTCGTGTCACTATGAAATGTCACTACCATATTTTAATGTCACTTACTGATGTCACTATCAGATTTTAACGTCACTATCGCCGGAAAACATGTCACTGTCGCCGGAAAACATGTCATAGTGATAGTTTCCGGTTCAGTAAAATTGCCACCCGCCGACCGCGACCGATCACCCACCACCCCACCCCCACACTCGCACTCAGCCCCCGAACACCTCCCCGACAATCACCCGCTGACAACCACCACCTTACACCCGCCCCTTCCCAACCCACCAGCCCCCTCCCCACTGTCCCTAGCCACCAGCACACTCCCCAGCCCCCTCCCCAACCCACCAACCCCCTCCCAGCCCCTCCCCAGCCCTCAAGTCCTGCACAATCGCAGCCCAAAACCACCACGTCGGCACCACCGCCCACTGCCATGTTTGTACACTCGTACATAGCCCTGCCCTTCCCAAGCCCCATGTCCCAGCACCCCAACACCCTTTCCAGTCCACATCGAACACATCGAACCTGGCCCCTCCTCAGCCCTGAAGCAAAACCTAGCCGCGCGCCTCAAACCGGAGTCGCCGCCCCTGTAACTCGCCCGTCACTATAATTGAACCCTAGCCGCCGCCAGATTTTCCATCTTCGCCGCTCAGATTCGCCGGATTCGTCGATTGGATTTGCTCCGAAGCCATCGTATCTGCAATTCATGCTGATTTCTGCAAATTGTTGGATCTCAGCGTCCTCCATCGCCACCACGTGAGAGAAAGGAGAAGAAAAAGAAATTGGCGGCGCTGATTGGTAGAAGGAGACCGGCGGCGACGATTGATGATGAGAGCAGCAAAGGAGGAGAGCCGGTGCTTTGATGCGCAAGAGCGAAGGACGAGGGGTGCTGCGAATGAAGGAATAAGGTCCCGAACTTTTCTTTCTGTTGATTTAAGTTTAGTCTGTTTTTTGTCTAATTTTAATTGAGCTCATATTTTTGTCTTTGTAAAAGTCATTACAAATATTTTTGACATTATTCCTTGTTAGTTACCACGCACATTTGTAGTAACTGTGCAATTAGTTACCCATTTATGATCAAAATTCACACTCTTACTGGTCCATCAGTTACTACAAGTATTGCACTATACTTCTCACAAATCGTAAAAGAACATCAATCATAAAAAACAGTCATTCAAGAGAATGAATCAAACTAAACCCAATTTCAGCTATGTTTCAAAGGTATTGTCTACCCTCTTCTTACGCTTGTTATTACGCCATTAAATTAACCTCCATCAAAATTATTTTGTACTACGAAAAATTTGTTTACTAGTCTAAGAGTCTGAGAGAACATACATGTTAAAATTGTTTAGGAAGAAAACCTAAGCAGTAGGTTCTTACCATTTACCAAACCATCAATTTTTAAAATAACCAAATTGAATGACCTGATATCCTCCAGCAGTGGCGGAACCACTCAAGGGCTTGGGGGTGCTTGTGCCCCTGCAGCCCTCCAGCTTCTTTACTACGGAGTATATACATTCCACAAGTCTCTCTTCTTTTTTGGGCTGTTACAGCGCAGCTGATCCATGTTAGGCAACGTCCATCAAACTCACCAAAATTAATTCACAATCTCAATTGTCCTCTTCCCCCACTCAAATCTTAAAGGTATATAAAACATCATCTTGTTCAGAAACCCCGCTTGTGATTTGAAGAAGTAATGACAGAAATGTTGTTATAATGTGTAATCCTTATTAATCCGTCATTGAAGACTTGAATTTGACTGATTTCATAATAATGGATTAATAACGCAACACATTCGGTATGGCAATAATAACGTTTATAAGGGATTAATGGCTTGACCTCCATCATATACTATGGTGTGAAATCTTGTATCACAAATTTAATTTGTTATGACAAATTAACAACGGACCATTTATTAATCATCTCAATTGATTTCTAATATTAAGGATAATTAAATAATATCACCTCTCCAAATATCTGATCACCTCCATAATTTTGTGTAATTTTAGTATTCACTCATCGCTTTAATATCTATCAAGTATATTCACTTATTTTTGCCGCCATCCGCCTTGCCGAAGACCAAAATTTTAGGGCCTCAGCAAGCTGCCCCCTTTCCATGTTGCTGGAAACCTACTCTTTCCCTAATGTGCCCCTCCAAGATCCCCGACCTGGTTCCGCCACTGTCCTCCAGTGAAGTTCATCACGAAACAAACAATAATAATACCTCAATCCGGCAATCTGGCCAAGCAAATCAGAATATGGCATGGGGTTTATTCGTTTTTCATAAGATTCACTCATATATACGAAGTACGTATTAATAACGTAACACTTCGTATATGAAAAGAAACCAAACTAGATTCACTCACAATATGGGGTAGAATATAATAATTTTAACAAGTAGCATAAGTGTTTACACAATTAAACGGGGTAAAAGGAAAAGAAGAAGAGGAGAAAGAAGAAACCATAAGAACAGATGAAATAAAGTAACATAACGTAGACGATGCACATACAAATATGTGCCACGGAAAAACTCTAAGAAAACTTTCCAAACAACCATTTTTTGAGCAAAAGTTCCAGTTTCTGTTTTCCATTGCCCATTTCCTCTTGATTATTGAGTTTCCGTGATATACTACCTCCAGTTTTTATTAAACTTCACACTTTGACTTCACACAAAATAAGGAAAGAAATTTGACTTTACTGTAGAGTACACTGTTGAAGCACTGTTTGACACTGTTGTGACACTGTTTGACACTGTTTTTATGTAGATTTATTTGCCTAAAAAGGAAATAAGGAATGTGAAGTTTAATAAAAACCATATCTATCGTTGATGTAGGCCAGCAAATACATCCTGCAGTAACGAGGTGTGCATATTCTCTTCTGTGAATTCGGGAGTGATGAACTGGATAAGATCGAGACAGTACTGGGGACGATGCCTCTCCACAATCAAGCAACGGTGTAATAACTGTTCCTCTCTGCTCAGCGCCCGATACTTGTCGACGAAGTTTTTCATGACTCGGACGAACTCCGGGGTCAGCCTGTCGTTATTCTCGTAAAAGGACGACAAGTAATAAAAGTAGTCATCGCAGAATTTGAGATTATCCCGAGATTCCTCGTCATCCTTCTCCTCCCAATGGTGCAGGAACTGCCCCACACAGGAATCCATCACCGCCTTCAAGGCCTGGTAATCCTCCGCAGGAATCTCCGTTCTGTTATCTTTTCCGTACAGGAAAGGACCGCCGCGGAAGACTCCGGGTTTTGAATAGTCTATAGCCGGCGGCACATCCGTACCCGATCCGAACCAGAACCTGGGAAATTCGAAGAAGGGAATCTCGTAGAGCATTTGAAGGATTTCGGGAGTGTAGCGGCCGGCGATGTTACGGAGGTTATTGAAGAGTGAGGCGCAGTTGTACATGGTGAGTCCCGGGACTAGGCTGGCTTCGTCGGCGTTGACGAATCTGTGGGGCGGCGGCGAAAAGGGGTAGAGGAATATCTCCACGCAGCGGTCCATCATGGCCTTGAGGATGCGGCGGTCATTCTCGTCCAAACGGACCCTTTCGCGGGCGCCGGCAGTCGATGTTGAGGCTATTGCGAAGATGATGACGAGAGAGATGACTCTGCTGCGGGTTAGGGTATAGGCGGCCATAGCCAGATCTATTTTGCTCCTTTCTATTTCGTGTGCCCACATCAATTATACTTCCTCCGTTCCTTTTTAATTGCAACAGTCAACATTTCACGTTTGTCAACGCACAAGTTTGACCATTAATATCTTTCATTCCGTATTAGTAAAAAATTTAAAAAATTCATATTTTGAAAATTTAGAATGAGAAGAATTTAACAATATTTTTTTAAAAATTAATTTATAATACATCAATTAATAAAATGTAGTCAAAGTAGAATATGTGAATAATATAAAAAGTCCAACATTGCAACTAAAAGAGAACGGAGGTAGTACAATATATACAGCGAAATAATTGAAGGGTAGTTAGGTTGTCCACCACGTCACACCAACCAACAGTGTTACTTCCTGCGTGAGAGAGAATTTGGAACTTAAAAGGGGTACACATCAGGGTTGGGCACGGGCCGGGTCGGGGCGGGTAATGCAAAATAAAATGGAACCGCCGGTTCCATTGTACGGTCCGGTCCGGGTATTGCTATTTTCAAAATAGAAACCGGACCTTACCCGGCCCGTTTGAAACGGGTCGGTCCGGTCCGGGTTTTACGGTTTCTACATTCATGTCTTAAAATTAGTAAAAACTAACAAAGTTCCAAAAATCAATAATTAATAATATAGTACATTAGCAAGTTTCAAAAGGGAAAACTGTCAAATAGGTCCTCGAACTTTCATAAAAAGGTCAATTAAGTCCTTCTATAGGAGGTTTTGTCTGGCCGTCGCGATTTGGGGAAGTTCCCGGTGGAATTTTTTGATGAAATTTTTTGAGCATCTTATTCACCAAGTCTAGTTTACTCATACCAAATTTCAGCTAAATATTCAATCGGGAACAGATTCAAATTAATTCTTGAAGATAACTGCGCATTTTTGCGTTCTCGAATTAATTTGAATGTGCTCCCGATTAAATTTTTAGCTAAAATTTGGTATGAGTAAACTAGGCTTGATGAATAAGATGCTCACAAAATTTCATCAAAAAATTCCACCGGGAACCGGCCCAAATCGCGACGGCCGGACAAAGTCTCCTATAGAAGGACTTAATTGACTTTTTTAGGAAAGTTCGAGGACCTATTTGACAGTTTTCCCAGTTTCAAAATAACAACATAGTGGTGCACATGTAACACAAGTGACAAGTCCAATACTCCATAATTTCATGTATATAGGTTCCAAACAATTAAAGTTCCAAAAATCAGCAAAATTTTAGTATTAGCCAAAGTTGACACATACATGGCGGTGGTAATCACAGTATATATATTTTAAGAACAATATTATAAAAACAAATATTACAAAATCATTTTTAACAAATATTTAAATTCCATAGAAAGGAATAATTCAATAATAATAAAAATAATAAGAAATTTATGTAAAATTTAATCAATAATTTGAAAGCAAAATGATTTTACTGCAACTCAATTTAAAATCCTACTTCTAGCAAAGGAAAACAAAACTATTTCAAAACCGATTATCTCAAAACTATTAATAAATTAATATACAATATATATAACGGGCCGGGCCGGGCCGGGTACCCGGTATTTTTTTATTTTGGAACCGGCCCAGGTCCTTAAAAAAAATTACCCGGACCTACCCGGACCGTTTTATGGCAACAAAAAATGGAACCGGCCCGTTTTAGACCCGAACCGCCATTACCCGGACCGGACCGCGGTTCCAAGACCCGTTTGCCCATCCCTAGTACACATCTTATAAGCCTCGGAGGTTATAAGTATCACTTTCACCTGTTGTGAGATTACCCTTGTAAAGGAGAGGTCTTGTGTTTGAGTCTCACTAATATCGGTGGAACTATGCTTCCTCAAAAAATCCTTCAAGTGGTAGGGCCAAACGATGTATACTAACCCGTAGGGCCAAGCCAAAGTTGGAATTTTGGGGTAAGGAGTCATGAAAGTACCGGCAACTGCGATGAGAGTGCCACAAGGTTAGGTCTCGGGTTCGAATACCGGCAATTGCGATGAGAGGTTACTATGCTGAAAAATGCATAGGGCCTCTGCAAGTACCAGGTAGGGGTGGGTTCGGTTCTAACGGTTCGGTTTTCACCTAAAACCAAATGCTGAACTAAAGTAAAAAGTTCGGTTCGGTTCGGTTTTATGCTCAAAAATTTGGAACCATGGTTTGTTCGGTTCCGTTTATTTTGGTTCTGTTTCAGTTTTTTTGATTTTCACCAAAATATTTTTGTTGATTAGAGAAGTATTAATTGGAAAACAAAAAAAAAAATAATAAACTACATCAAACTATTATTAATAGTAATACAATTAAAACATACATAATTTGAGAGTACGTGTGTACCAATTTAAACAATTGCACTTCGAAACAATGAATTAGAGAGTACGTGTATACCAATTTAAACATTTTCTAAATTAATTAAACACATGAGTTTATTTGTGAATTATATACAGTGTATTCGTAAGTTAAAATTTTATTAGTAAATAACTTATTCTACTTTCTTTTATACAAGGATATTTATGCTCTAAAGTTTCACAATTTTTGCTATGTTGTTTAAACTATAGTTTATATTACGTAGTAATACATATTTGTTCAATATAAAAATTAGGTGATAACAAACATACATAAATTATAATATATCAACAAAATATTTTTTTCATATATGCAACAACAAACAAAATGTAAATTATGATTTAAAATATCAACATATTAGTATTATATCAATAGATTTAAGTATTTGTACAAGTGATGTGCACTTTGTTGTGGTGTGCACTCAAAATAATAATACAATACAATACTTATACATAGTATTTCGTAGTAAGGTTCGTATCCACGGGGAAATGAATACTTCTCTTTTGATTAAATAGTAACAAGGGGGTTTTAAGTTTGTTTGATAAACTTTAATGTATTTAAACACCAAGTTGAACGACTTATGTGGTTTAATTCAATTGAGATGAAGACTTGGCTTTGCTTTTATCCACTTAATGAAATGTTCGTCGATCCGGATTATATCTTTAACTATCTTCCTCTCGAATACTCAATCGAGGAGTATATCCAGTTCATCGAGAGTAGTTATTAATAACGAGACGCGTTCATCAATAAAACTTACTACCGAGTTAATATAGAACAAACGCCGTATATTAACGTGTCAGTAGCAATAAAATCAAGATGAAAACGATTGATATTGATCACCTCAACACAAGCGGTTATCGGTTTAATCAATATAATTAATTCCCCTTAAGTTATTAACCATGAGACACATGCATTAATAACCCAAGTTTACTACCGTGAAAGGACCAAACGATTAACAAGCGTATTCGTTGATCGATTCTAGTAATAATTAATATATGAAACAAAACTAGTTGATTTTTTAAGTAATGCTCAAAATATTAATATGAAGTATGAATAGGAATTAATTAATATTCAAGGAAGAAAATTACAGAAAATAACTCACAACTGTACTTACAATTCATTAAGCTTCAAAGTAGCAAAACCAAGATGGAAAAGCTCCTTATTTGGAGACTAAACATAATGAAAATGTAAAGAAAGAACTTATCTAGACTGAGCTTAGAAGTGTATAAGAACTGGTGATCTCGTTGTGAAAGAAAGGAGGCGTATTTATAGGCTTTTCGGACTGCAGCTCGTGTACCCGATCGGGTGTGTCAGTGTACCCGATCGGGTATGACAACTGATCGTGGCCAAATCTTCCCCTGCAAGTCCCTTTGTTTCCTGGATTGATCTAATAGAAAATCAAGTTGGTACCTGATCGGGTAAGGGATATACCCGACCGGGTACAGGTCAAAATCAGGAACTTTCCTTCTTTTTTGTCTTGTACTCTTGTACCTTCCTTCACCAATGATCATCTGATTGATCTTGGACTTGTTTTAGCTCAGAATGAACCTAATATAAACAAATTACAAATATTACACAAATATAACTATTACACCAAAAGAGTGTAATTTCCAAAGTATCAAATAACAAAAACTAACTAAAAACATACACATACATATGAAAATTACAAGCGTATCCAGGGCCGGCCCAAGGAGGGGAGAACCAGTCCCATCGCACAGGGCCTCAAAAATTGGAAGCCCCCCAAAAAAATTAGAAATAGTACTAGAAAGTAGCCCAAGTCCAAAATAGAAAAAGCCAGAAAGCCGAAGGTCCCCAACGAACGAACTTAAGAAGCTCTGCAGTGGTCATCGCGGTAGCGGTCTGTAGCAGCCTGTAGCGGTTACGTTGCAGCGGCGTGAAATATTTTCAATTGCGCAAAACATAAATGTATTTGTTCACATCATTCACACAACATTTAATTTTGAGTTTCACTACATGCATCTCCATTAATGTATTTTTTCACATCATTCACACAACATTTACACATTTACATATCAAACAGTTCGTGATGTAATGCCGGAAATGTCAATAGCGGGATGTAGCGGGCTGTAGCGAGCGGCGTAGCGGATTTTTCCCGTGATTTGAAAATCACACACGAATAGCGGGCCGTAGCGGTAGCGGCCCCTACCGCGGCCGCTATAGCATTTAGGAGTGCCCCTACTGCAGAGCTTTGGAGTCCAAAGGCAGAGTGCAGAAGCATGACTATGGTGATTCCTGAGTGGATACCGTCCTAAAGCGTGTTGCCTACTCTGGTCCCTGTAATGGTCGAAGAATGACCTCTGTCTGCGCCTGTCACTCTAAATCGAGGGTCGGTTCCAGACCTTATGTGATGGAAACCGGTGAAAACTTGATTCTCGTTCAGAGACAGACGACGACATCCTAAAACCCCGCCGGCCTCGCACTCCAGATGCTCTCCAAGAATTCCGTCGGTCAAACCTGCCCTGAAATCTCCTTAGCTGCCATCGGGAGTGGCGCTGCGATGCCTCATGACGAAGAGGAAAACCCTTTGTCTCGCCCCAGTCCCTCATCCCTAAGCTGTTAATCGCTCCATTCCGCTTGTCTGGCTAGGGTTCTGAGAAGAGGAGTGGCAGCAAGGTTCTGCCATCCCGATTCCGAGAGTAAAAGAGGATGAAATAGGGAAAGTTAGGGCTAATCCTATATATTAAATGTTTCTAAGTTGA